GGTGGTCAGAATAGGATCAAACATGCATCATCCCATGTTTGGTATTCATCTTGATAGGAAGATTGGATGATTAGGATAGAATTTTTGTCCCATGGGATTAGAATGATAGATAAAACAAATCACATTCTACTCTTATAAAAGTATCAAACACTACCCGTTTTTTTTGCACCACCAAACATAAGATAGGATAGATATTAGTTAACCTAATCCACTTCCTATTCCTATTTTATCTTGCCTTACATTATCCTATGCATTAGACATAGGCATAATCCCTTTCTAAATTTATTAATAACTAACATATAAGAAGATAAAAATTAAAGAAACTGTTGACATGAGATATATACCAGGACAGATGTCATCAATCCAAGAGACCCAAATCCTACAAAAGCAATTCAGGTTTAGTTATCAGAGAAAATAGCTTACAAGGCACAGAATAATGCAAAATTACAACAAACTGGGCTGAAAGGGGAACATTCTTGACTGGCTACTGGTACTAACCTTGGGCTAAGAAATCACTCTGCACATCTCCATCATAGTTCTTGCATGCCCACACATAACCACCTTCACTCTTAGGGCATATGCCACCATATCATCAATAAGACGGTGTTCATACCTTCAATTAGATCATCTGAATCAATATTTGACATGAATATAAAGAATATTAACTATTGTCTTTGAAGTCAGAAAGATACTAACCATATCCCAGCAGCCTCATATTTTGATTTCCAGTTAGCCTCATAAACTTCTTGGAAGATATTTTTGAATCTTCATCAAAAAAACAAGCATGGGCTATAGGAGTCAAAAACTGGAAAATAAAGTGCTTTCACTAGGAAAAGTTGTACGTATTATGCTTGTCAGATACCTTCCATCATACTTCTTAAGAATAGTATTTTTTGTACTAAGATAAAGAGGCCACTTCTTCCGATAAGCAGTGTTCATGGAAGCCTCAGCAAAAGCATGAATGGACTTCATTTCCATGTCAAACATAAAGCAAAAGAATTCAGACACCACTAGAACAAAAAAAAAATTAAGCTACAACAAGACCATCAAAAGATTCATAGTTTCATACCTCATCTGTGTTATACATAGCCATTGAAACTCCTCCCTCACCGGTGAAGTTGAAAACTTTGTAATCTGTCTTTTCACCCTGTTCCTCTGGAACTGCAAACAATGGCAATCAATGCTAGTTATTCACAAATCAAGAAGAGTATTACCAAAAGCCAATCAAGATAGGCAACGGAATATCAGAAATCATCAAGTAACACAAAAATTTTACCAAAAACCAGTTTAAGTTTCCCGGCTCCTTTAATGACAGCTTCAGTTGCTCGATATTGATCACCAAAAGCATGTCTTCCGATGCATATAGGCTTTTTCCAACCTGATGACACAAGAAGTCAACATATCTTCATAATAATGTAAGTAAATATATAAATAGATAATATATACAACCACAACATCGAGAAAAACTGAATACCTGGGACCAGTCGAGGGACATTTTTGCAAATAATTGGCTCTCTAAAGACAGTGCCTGAAAGATTATGCAAGTAATAATTACTAACTATGAAAAATGCACAAAATAATAGGAAAAAATTCTAGAAATATATGAATGCATTAATGCTAACCATTCAAAATGTTCCTACTAACTATGAGAAATGCATAAAATAATAGGGAAAAAATTCTAGAAAGATATGAATGCATTAATGCTAACCATTCAAAATGTTCCTAATAGTCCCATTAGGACTCTTCCACATCTGCTTCGAGTTAAACTCCTTAACACGAGCCTCATCTGCCAATCACCAAAATCATATTGTAAGAACTTTCTGAATTTTAAGCATTGATGAAGGTTATCATTCCTGTAAGAAGTTCAGCCATATATACCTGGAGTGATAGTAATGCACTTGATGGCTACATTGTACCTAAAATAAGACCAGAAACACTCAAGACCAGCAGAAGAAAAAACAGATAACACAAAGCGAGCACATACACCAAATTAAACAACCACATGTGACCAGGAGAAAAACACAAGCATTGACTAAATATTGTAACGAAGAGATTTATCCCTTGAAAATTTTGGAAAGGAATAACTAAAACATACTTGAGAGTAGCTTTAGCACTTTCGATTGTAACTTTGTCATCGGTAGTATCACGATATGGAAGACCAAGTTCAAAGTACATTATGTCCAACTCCACAAAGGGCAAGATGAGCTACAGAAAAATAAAAAAGATATAACGCCGCAATAATATCTTAAATGTTTTCAACAAAAAACTACGTACAGGTCATCATATAGGTAAATGAATCACCTTATCCTTGATTGATTTCCAAATAACTCTGCTCATTTCATCTCCTGCGCCGCAGAAATGAAAAATAACAAATGATAAGGAATATGTCAGGAAGTACAAGACTTTATTATACCAGTTCAAAAGAAGCTACACAAAAAAATTGCAAGCTCCAATGCACAACAATGTCATATTCTTAAAAACTAAAGCCCGACAGCATTCGTATCATAAACCACAACGATTTCACCACCAAATATATGTATATGTGTGTTCGCCAGCGTACTTGCGCCCAAAATGCTTGATCAAATATCAACCAAACTATTAGTTTCCATATAGACAAGTTTTTATGATAAGCCATGTAGTGATAGTAAGATAGCATGCTTTGGTTAAATCTTTTTATAAAATATATTAATATCAAAAAGATTTTGACTTTCTAATGCTTTGATCTTCATCAATAGTCATTTGATAAGGTTAGTTTTGAGAATATATTCATCTTTTAAGAAGAATGCTTCTCATTGTTTAAATTCAGACAAACCATCAAATCCCTCAAATTAATTGATTTTTTATATTAAATTGTGAGTTTTAAAGAAATTTTAAAAAAATATAAAATGATAGAAGATAATTAGAAGAATTCGTCGTTGTCTAGAATAACTAAAAAGATTTCAAAAACAGTTAAAAAAAACCACAAACATTAGAGAAGGAGAGGGGAAAAAGTAATGTTGGATAAAATGAATGATTTTTTTTTTTTTTGAATTTAACTTCAATAAAATATCATTCCATCCAATTATTTTAGATTTAACAGTTAAGTGATAAAAAATAAATTTCAAAAAATTAATACTATAATTTTAAAAAAATTATAATTCAATGATCGAAACAAAAACGCCACCAAAATTCAATGACTGTAACTTACCTAAAACAAATAGAATGATTATTTTTACAGTAGTAGAAACTATAAAACTATTAATTTTATCAACTAAATTTAATTAATTTGTTTTTAGATATTTTCAATCTTTTTACTACCCAACCCTACACAGCCATGAGTAGATCATTTACCAAAAACATAGCTTAAAATATAAACTTTTGAATTCAACTTATTGAGCGGCATTGATTGTAAAATAGAGTATTATTTTTCTTTAAATCTTAAATTTAAATAATTACATCTATAAGACATGCATGTATTGTCAATAATAAAAAAATATATATATTTTTTCTTATAATATAATCGGTTCATATTACAGAATAAACTTTTAAACTGATTTTATTTATTTTTAAATAAAATCAAATATATTTAAAGAATCCCCTTTTTAAAAAAATTAAAAGAAAAGAAAAGGGCTAGCAGTCTGTTTGACTGTCCAATCCATATTGGCCCGCTTCTGGTTGGTCTTCTGTCCATTCACAGTGCATTTGGGCTATACAGCAATCATCACAGTTTGACCTTTGACTCTTTCTATTTGCATGAAACCTCACCCCCAAATAAAATATTTCTATTACATGCATACATATACATATGAAATGATCATCCAGCTCAGTTGATAGAGCACAAGGTTTTTAATTTTGAGGTTGTGGGATCGAGTCTTACGGAGGGCATTTCATAATTCGGAGGTCTGTTACGGAAATTGCTCTCAACCTGGTGTTGAGGGCAGCCTACTATCTTATTTCCCCTTACCCCATACATATAGGAAAAATGAACAACCATTTTTATTACATACATACATATATAGTTTAAGTAATTATAAGATAATATTTTTTTAAATCTTTATTATTCCGTTTATAATCTATATACGTACTTACTCAAATTAAAAAAAATTATAAAAAATAATATTATTCCTAGCCATTGAGACCATTTAATGAGATATAAACAAAATTAAAGAGGGCACTTGTTCCATTTATTTGTATATCTATATATTGCCTATCAGAGTAAAGAGAGCATATGCAGCTAAAAGTTTAGATTTACGAATTTATTTAATTTTTCTTTTAAGTTTAAATTCAGTTCAGTCTTTGCCACTTTCCGTTCCTTATGGCTTAAAAAGGTATCACAAGCTTTGAACCCAATTTATTATAGGTAAACTACATGTTTATTATTTTAACATTTTTTTCTTTATAGTCATTTAGTTATTATTTTTTAAATTATATTTAATATTACAATTTAATTTCAATTTGATCACCTAACTTTAAAAAATTAACAGAATTATTAACGTATAATTTTTTATAAAAAATCAACAATGATGTGATATTAACTTATGGTGACACATCAATATCACTATTAAATTTTTAACGGTCATTGACCAAAATGAAACCAAAACATAATGTTAGATATGATTTTGAAAGATATAATACTAAAATTAACCCCCTAACATTTACCAACATTGTCATTTTGAGCCTTATTCTTTTTATGAAGTATTTTAGTCCCAACATCTCAATTTAGGGAAAAATGACCCAAAAATCTATTTTGAGTTAAAAATATCCTATTTTAGAATGTTAAACATTTGTTAACTAATTGTTGGTCCTTTTTACTCCAAAATAAAATTTTTAGGGCCAAGATATTATTTTAGTAAATGTTAGGGATCAATTTTGATATTATACGATTTTAAAAAAATAGTTAAATAATCGAAATGAAATAAAAATAATAATTGAAATACTAAACGAGTAGTATATCTAGATATATGTAAGCTTATTGGATAACTCTAAATTCAAAACATTTTCATCAAGTAGCTACATGAAGTGAATTAGGATTCCCTTTGAACACACACAAAAAAAAATAGATTTCTGATTTCTTTCTTGGAAAGCCAACACAAAAGAGGAGGATTGAAGAAGCAAAAGGGTCGGTGTCTCCATGCCTGACTCACACCATCTCTTCTTCTTCCTTCCATCTATCTTATCTCTGATTCTCTTCTTCCTCCTCATCAAGAGAAAACAAAGAAGGTATAATCTTCCACCTGGGAACATGGGGTGGCCTTTTGTTGGTGAAACCATGGGCTACTTGAGGCCTTACTCTGCTACATCGGTTGGTGAATTCATGCACCACCATATATCCAGGTAGTCTTTGTGCTTCAACCCTTTTTTTTAAAACAGAAACATAATCTTTCTCGTGTTTTTGAATCAATTCAACGTTTTTCCAGGTATGGGAATATCTACAAATCAAACTTATTCGGTGAGAAGACGATAGTTTCTGCTGATGCTGGGCTGAACAAGTTCATATTACAAAACGAAGGGAGACTATTCGAGTGCAGTTACCCGAGGAGTATCGGCGGCATTCTTGGGAAATGGTCGATGTTGGTTTTAGTTGGAGATATGCATAGAGACATGAGAATTATATCACTCAATTTCTTGAGCAACGCAAGGTTAAAGACTCTTTTGAGAGAAGTGGAGAAGCATACTTTGCTTGTTCTAAGTAGTTGGAAAGAAAAGTGTGTATTCTCGGCTCAGGACGAAGCAAAAAAGGTGCGACTTTCTTTACTCGAGAAGAAAAAATGAAGTTGGTAGCTTGTGTTTCGAAACGAATTTGTGCTTTATTTTTTTTGCAGCTCACTTTCAATTTGATGGCAAAAAACATCATGAGCATGGACCCTGGACATGCTGAGACCGAGCAGCTAAAGCAAGAGTATGTTACTTTCATGAAAGGAGTGGTTTCTGCTCCTCTCAATTTGCCTGGAACCGCATACAGAAAAGCCTTGCAAGTAAAACTATGAAACCCAGATATGTTATTCTCTTCTGGTTATAAAATGTGGAATCTGATGGTTCATTTATGTTTATTTGGCAGTCTCGATCAACGATCCTGAAATTTATCGAGAGAAAAATGGTGGAGAGGAAAAGGAAGATGAAGGAGGGAAAAGAAAACGCGGAGGAAGATGATCTTCTTGAATGGGTTTTAAAGCATTCGAATCTTTCGTCAGAGCAAATACTTGACTTGATTTTGAGCTTGCTTTTTGCTGGACATGAAACTTCATCGGTGGCCATAACCTTAGCCATCTACTTCTTGCCAGGTTGTCCCATGGCCATTCAACAGTTGAGAGTAAGCAATCCACTGCTTGTTTTACTGCAAAATCTTTCATTTTTTCCCTTATGATTCTGTTTTCTAAAACTGTAATCACAGGAAGAACACCTTGAAATTGCCAGAGCCAAGAAGCAATCAGGGGAGATTGAACTCAACTGGGATGATTACAAGAAAATGGAGTTCACACAATGTGTAAGCTAAGCTAAGCTCTCTCGCTTTTAGTTAACCATATTTTTGGGTAATAAAAAAACCCAAATGGTCGGTATTACTTTGTTATGTCTCTTAATTATTAAAAGTTATAAAATAGTCTTCTAATTATAGGGTGTTGTTTTGTTGAGTCTCTGACTATTAAAAAGTTACAAAACGATCACTCAACTATTTATATGTTTCAAATTCATCATTTGTTAAAAAATTTGGCGTCATCCGAGCTAGACGTTAACCTATTGACTGAGATATGATAAAATTTAATCCCATGACCGTTTATATTATGTCGTCGAGTCAATATTTGAAATATTATGTCTTTGAGCTAGTGTTTGAAAACAATGCGATGCTAATGGACATCATTAAAATATGAATTTATCATATCTGAGTTAGCAGGTTAACATCTAACTGAGAGGATTGTCAATTATTTTAGCGAAAGATGAAAATTTTGGAATATATGAATAGTGAGTACATTCAACAAAATAGTCTCATATAGTTGGGGATTATTTTGTAACTTTTAATAACCGATGGACTTAACAAAACATTATCTTATAATATGTAGTTTACCATTGAATCTAATGTTATTTTGGGTCATTTTGTTAATGCTGGGCTATTTTGTATAGGTTATTAATGAGACGCTTAGGCTTGGTAATGTGGTAAGATTTCTGCATAGAAAAGCTCTTAAAGACGTTCGGTACAAAGGTAAGTCAAAAACATGCTACTACTTCAACTATCTGGCTTAAACCAAGCAGCTTTTGGTTAAAAATATTTGGAGCTTAAAATCAATAATTTTATTTTTGGGGTGGTGGAAAAGGTTATGATATTCCATGTGGGTGGAAAGTGCTGCCAGTGATTGCAGCAGTGCACTTGGATCCCTGTCTTTTTGACCATCCTCAACACTTCAATCCATGGCGATGGCAGGTCAGTCCATAGTTTATTTTTTTTAAAGTATTTAGAAAATGATTTTAACCCATTTTTTAAAAAAGAAATAGGATGTGAAATGGATTAAATCTGATCGTATATATAACTCATGAATGGTCAATTTTTATCACCTTTTTGTAACGAACTTGGATTATGTTGTCTTCGAAGAAGACAGAGAAACAAGTCTATGTTACAAAATGTGAAAGATGCGTCTAAACTCCTCCTCCTTGACTTTATATAGATAAAATGTCTTTTATGTACGCGATTTTTATTTTATTGGCTCAATTATTTAATTTATTTAGTTGATTTTGTTAATTTTTTAATAATTTAAAGGGAATATAAAATATTATCTGTTTAAAATTTTATTTGATCATTAATAACATGCATACAACTGCTTGAGTTTAAGTTCTTTTTGAATCATTGTAACCCCTTCATATGTTTTGTTATATTGATTTATTTAAAACCTAGTAGTTTACTTTTAATTAATCACACGTATTAAAACAAACGGTCAAGAATACTAAATCTTTGTAGAGATGAAATAAATGTTTTTTTTCTTTTGGTAGAAATAGAAAGCACTAATACATGAGAATAGTTGAGATTTTTTTCAAAGGGTACATAGGTAAGTGGCCACAATTAATAATTCAAAGGGTACATAGATTTGGACGATCTATATGTATTAATAAATATTTGACAATAATACCTTTTCTTTTGTTTTTCTGTTCCTTATTTATTAAAGCATATTATTCTCGGGGAATGACAACATTACCCATAAGCTTTAATTTATTTTTCCTTTTTCGTAAAACACAAGTGTGGAAATTTGATGGGAAATTGTACATAAACATTTAAATCATGTGGGGTACTTGAAGTTTCATCAGAGCCGTTTTAAGTGTCTTATCAGGGTAAGGCAAATAGGCATACACGAAGATATCTGAAAGACTAGCTGTGATCCAATCCAACGGTTCTGTAAACCCATGACCCGTCATCATCAATGAACGCCCCCTTGTTGCAATACTCAACCGACGTAGATACACAATTTTATATTAAAGAAAATTTAGAAATTATATTAAAAATTAAAAGGATATAAAATTATAAAATTTTAAAAGATATAAAATTATATAATTAATAACGATGGTATCTCTAGAGCCTTGATCTATTCAGGGACGGATATATAATTTTGTGTTAATAATAATAAATTTATAAAATTTTAAGGAAAGATAAATCTAAAAAATTTGAGGATGAAAATAGATTTTGAATATAAAATAAAAAAATTAAAAATTTTTAGAAGAAGATGACCGCTCCCATCCGTCCCTTAAATCTATCCCTGGATCAATTTCTTTCTTCCAAAATCAAAGAAAATGGAATAATATTTGGGGCAAAACGCAGACAGTCAGATACAAAAAAAGAGCAGAGCAGGGCAGTGCTTTTGGGGTATGGGGTCGGGGTCTGGCCTCCAGTCTCGTGCGAGTGGGGGGGGGTTAAGATGATGATTAAATCCCCCCATGTGGGTTGTGGGGTTCCCGCGTGCACGTGCAGGGTGGTGGGCCCCCTTTCTGGTAGGTCAATCACAGTTCATAGCTACACACATTTGTAATTGATGACTAATCCCCTCTTTTAGATTTTCCCCCCTCAACATCTTTTAATAGTTTAAGTTGACTATAAAAGAAGATTTATTCAAAAAATTTCTAATCATTAAAAAATTAAATATATACTCTTCGGATGTAACTATTTAAGTTTAAAACCTTTAAAAAAATATATATATACTCTTTATGTTATATAGATATATGAGAATAAATCTTAAGCTCTAGATCTGATATCTTAATTTTATTGTTGAACGTGGGTTTTTATGTTGGTGGATTATTGACATAATATTCACCTTTGGTATAGCAAAATAACGGCGGTCATGGGTCGGCAACATCGTCATCGTCGTCTCCGAGCAATTACTTCATGCCGTTCGGGGGAGGACCGCGCCTATGTGCAGGAACGGAATTGGCTAAACTGGAAATGGCGGTATTCATCCACCATTTGGTCCTCAAGTGCCAGTGGGAGTTGGCCGACACGGATGAAGCCTTTGCCTTCCCATTTGTCGACTTCCCTAAAGGCCTTCCCATCAGAGTTCAAATCTTAAAGTAGAAGGCTCAGCCGCTCGTGTTGGATATAGTATATTACGTGAAGAAAAAGGGCAAGACAAACATATTCTAAGTATATATATTTATATTCATATCCACCGTATTAATGTAAATTTTTATTTTATTTTGGCTAGCAATTATTATTGCCACTATTATTTTTTATTTTTTATATTTCTTTTTTCCCTCCTTTTTTCAGGTTGTTTTTACTTATTTTTTAACATTATTTGTACATTTTTTTATCAAAGGGCGAAGCCATTTTCCTGTGTGAAATCAAAACAAAGTAAAAGGTGGGATGGGATAAAGAAATTTATAATGAATTGAAGAAACTAATAAAATTGGTGCAATAATTAAAGCCTGATGTCGGATTTAGAAAAGGAAAAAAAGCCCTAAGATTCAAATAAATGAATATATAGAATGTCTGACGTTCGGTCTGCATTGATAAAAATAATGGCTAAATTTCACATTTAGTACCTCAACTATCATTTTTATTCTGTTTTGGTTACTTAATTATTATTTTTTTCAAAATCATATCTAACATTTAGTTTTGATTTCATTTTGGTTACCCACCATTAAAAAATTAATGGTAATGTTGATGTGTCACCGTCAGATATTACCATGTCATCATTGAAAAATAAAAGACGTCACACCAATAATTCTATTAATATTTAACGGCGGGTGACGAAAATAAAATCAAGACTAAACATTAGGTATATTTTGAAAAAAAAGTTAGATGACTAAAACAGAACAAAAGTTACGAGGTCTCCAAAACTATATGCAGTAAGGCCTAAGGGTTCCTTTGTTCACAAAAAATAGAATTTGAAAAATGATTTTCGTAAAATGAATTATATTTTCTGAAAAATAATTTTTGAAAATCATTCTACGGTGTTTGGATGATGCTATGTAAATTATTTTCCACTAGTTGATATTTTTTTAGAAATTATTTATTATATATATCAAATAAAATAAATAATATTATTTATTAGAAAAATGTTATTATTATTTTTAAAGTATTACATACTTTATTTAATATTAGTTATTTTAATATTATTTCTACAATTTTATAAATAAATTTATTAAGATTGTTATATTTTATTGAAACTAAATATTATAAATATATTAATTATTTATGAAAATAATAATATTATATTGCTAACAATTATGAATTATTTATTAAAATAAGAATTATATTATAATATTAAAAATTATAATATTAACATAAGAATATTATATTAGATTAGATTTTGAAATTATTAATAAATATATTATTAAATATTAATTAATTTAATGATATTATTTTATGAATTTAATAAATATAATTAATTTTATTAATAATTTATTATATACTTTTAAAATATAAATATAATACCATATATTATTATAATATAATTAAATATATTATTATAACACTAAAAACATAGTATTATATATATTATTATATTATTACTATTTTTATTAAAAATATTTAAATAGTATATTAATATTAAATATATAAATTAATATTATTTTGAGTATTTATGCTTTCAACAGAAATGTTCAAAAAACAAATTACGAAAAATCAAACAATAAGATATTTTTAGAGAATGCAAAAGAAATTATGTTTACTAGAAAAATAAATTATATTAATTATTTATTTTCAATCAACCAAACACTAAAAAATTAGATTTTTTTTTGAAAAATGAAACAAACAGACCTAATAAGCAGTAATCTACGCAAAACACGTTAATACATTAATCAATTATGCATAATATAGTTATCTAATCTTCAATCAATCTGTAATTAATTAATTAAATAAGAAAGAGTCTACATCACACGTCATATACCGCAACGTACCACTAAAGCATGTATCGAAATACATTACAACAAAATTTGTTCTTATTATGTAAATATTAAAAAGTATTAGATTTTTTAAAATTAATCATTAATTAAAATTTAGTTTTACTTTTAATAGAATTATAATTAAATAATTTTTAATATAAAAAATAATTAATTTAAGTAAATTAATTTGTTTAGAATTAGGATTTGTGAATTATTTAAGTTAAGAATGACCGTCAACAATAGTCGCCGCCATAAACCTTAACTCGCCGAAAAACTTGTTGAAAAATTAGTTGGAAAATATTATATTACAAATTCAACACGATCATTTGTCGTCCTCCGATTTGCCATTGCCCAACGGTCATCCAGCAGATGTAAAATAGTCGGCCACCAAGCAGGGGCGGATGTATGCGGTCTTCATGGAGTTCAATTGCACACCCATTATTTTGAAAAATACTATTAAATCTAGTTAATATATTAAGGAGAATGAAAAAATAATAATGAAATTTGCATACCCAATTATTTTAGCAAAATAGAATATTAAAATTTTAAACTCCATTTTTTAATTTCTATATCCGACCTTACCACCAAGGAAAAGCTATGCAGAAAGTCGACCCATGCAGAAAGTTTTCATTGATATACACGGTGGAGTTAGTTTTAATTTTGAATGGTAAAAATACATTCTAACCCTCCTATTTTCTGTTTTATTTCGAATGGTTAAATTGCATAAAAAACACATAGTTTGTCCTATTTATATTTTAGACAAAGGTACGTTTATGTTTTAATATACATGGTTAAATTACACTACTAGGTTTTAATTCTTCCATAATTTATTAATTTTTATTTTGATTCTTAATTTCAAATTTACTCTTTGATTTTAATTAACAATATTATTAATAATTTATTTTATTCATTATTTTTATTATCATTAATTTCATATTATTTTATATTATTTTTCATCATTAATTTTAATAATTTGATACTTAATTTTACTTAATATTAGTTGTGGTTATTTGAATTATGATAGTATTAATTTTAATAAGTAATTTTCATGCTTAATTTTAACTTGCTATTCATTTTTATCATTGCATTTGATTTTAACAAGCAAAAATGGAGTGTAAGCGACATCTCGATATGAATTCAGAAAATATCAATATCGAGGTACATTCATTGTAATTAATAACAATATTAAATCAAATACAATGATAAAAACGAATAGCTAGTTAAAATTAAGCATCAAAATTAAAATTAATGATCAATACTAAAATTTACGTATCAAAATTAATTTTATCATGATTCAAATAATCACAATTAATATCAAGTAAAATTAAGTATCAAATTATTAAGATTGATGGTGACAAATAATATAAAATGATATGAAATTAATGCTAATAAAAATAATGAACAAAATAAATTATTAATAATATTGTTAATTAAAATCAAAGAGTAAATTCAAAATTAAGTATCAAAATAAAAATAAATTACAAATTATAGAAGATTTAAAACCTAAAGTGTAAAATCTAAACAAGGGAAAGGGAGAGGGTTTGCATGCAATTTGACTATTTAAATTAAAACAAAAGTATGGGGGTGGGTAGTGTAATTTAACAATGTAGATTAAAACATAAACGTATCTTTGTCTAAAATATAAATAGGACAAACTATGGGGGTTTTATGCAATTTAACCATTCTAAATGAAACAGAAAATAGGAGGGTTAGAATGTAATTTTACCATTCAAAATTAAAACCCAACTGCATCGTGCAAATCAATGGGAACATGGAGGGCGCCGGTCTACTTTCTGCATAGCTTTTCCTTGGTGGCCGACTATTTTACAACTGTTGGATGACTGTTGGGCGATGGCAAATCGGACGACGACAAATGACCGTGTTGAATTTATGATATAATATTTTTCAAAGAATTTTTCAACAAATTTTCTGACGAGTTAAGGTTTCTAGCGGTGATTATTGTTTACGGTTATTCTTAACTTAAATAATTCATAAATTTTAATTCTAATTAAATTAATTTATTTAAATTAATTATTTTTTAATTAAAAAATTATTTAATTATAATTCTATTAAAAGTAAAACTAAATTAAAACTAAATTTTAATTAATGATTAATTTAAAAAAATCTAATAAATTTTAATATTTACAAAATAAGGACAAATTTTGTTGTAATGTGTTTTGATACGTCATTTTAGTGGTACGTTGTAGTATGCGATGTGCGACGTAGACTCTTCCTTATTTATTTATTTAATTAATTAATTACAGATTGATTGAAGGTTAGATAACTATATTATTCATAATTGATTAGTGTATTAACGTGTTTTGCATGGATTGCCGCTTATTAGGTTTGTTTGTTTCATTTTTCAGAAAATATTTTTAATATTTATATAATAAAGACAAATTTTGTTGTGTTATGTTTTGACACGTCGTTTTATGATACGTTACGGTATATGACGTATGTAATAGAATTTTCTATTAATTAATTAATTAACATTTTTATAGTAATCAATCAAATGAGAAAGGTCAGACATAACCACCACATAAATAGTTAATTAGTCCGGTTGAAGAGTTGAAAATAATATTTTGGTCCCCTGTTCCATATAATTAGTTTAGCATACACAATAATTCATTTAAAATTTTCTGTATAGTCTAATTGTTGGCAAAGCAGTGGTCACATATATTTATCATACCGAATCTTTTTTTTTTAAAGATAAAATCACGAGTTAGGTCATTTAATATCTTGTTTTTAAATGATAAATTCTTTTTGTATCAATAATTTTGGTCATTTAATATCTTGTTTTTAAATGATAAATTCTTTTTGTATCAATAATTTTGTCATTTAAGGGTGTCAATTGACACCCAAAAGTTTATAAAGGAAATAATTTCCATATAAGTAATATATATATTTGATATCAAAATGAAAAATGACACATCTTTTAGAAATATTTTGACACCTTTTAAAAAAAATATTCAACTTTTTTAAAAATGTTTAGTGTAAACTACACAAATGGTCACCAATATTTGAGTAAGTTTTCGTTTTTCCATTGAAGTTTCGAAAGTAGCACATTGATCACTAATATTATCGATTTGTAACAAATTGGTCACTAACGTATTGATTTGTAACAAATGACCTCTATTAAACTGATGATGTGACAACATTAGAAAGGGTAAATATTTACTTTTACCCCCAACTATTGTTAAAATATCAATAGGTCATTGAACAATAATTTTATATCTAATTTACCCCAACGACTTTCTGATTTTTTTTTTAAAAAAATCAAAAATTATAATTATACTCGAATAACTTTTTTTAAAAACTAAAA